ATTAACCAAAAAAGCTGCAGGTCCACAGGCAGTCAGGAGAACTTCTCATTGCTTTTGATCCACCCCAATGTCATTTGCCTAGAAAAAATAAACACATTCTTTCCACATATTGGGCTCAGTCTTTGACAGCAGGATCGAACAAATCAAGCTTCCCAAATAGCTGCAGGATGCCAGAAATGCTTACCTCAAGTCAAAGATGACTGCTATGCACAAATTTCTTCAAGGGCGTGTTTTTCTCTTGTCGCCACGGAAATAACTCCAAGAAGGCTAGTATCCCATTAGCAAGTCACCCTTTATTTGCACGTAAATATTACATGACACTGACCCAGCTAGCTTAGAGCTGGCTCGAGTGAACAGAACCTCTGACACTCCTGTTTGTATCTGTCAGTCAGGACTCTCTGATTAGACCAGATTAACAGCCCCACTTAGGAAACTCATAGGTTCCACCTGGCTGATCTCTTTCCAATAATTAAAGGCAAGTTGAGGTTAGAAGGCTGTTAAAAAAGCATACAGCATCTTGGCTTAATAAACAGAACGGGAGATTGCAAAACAAGGAAGTTATACTAAACATATATGAATCATGAGTTAGATACCAGCTGGATTATTATGTCCACTTTAGAAACAATGTCAAGGCCTCAGACGGATCGCAGAGGAAATTTGTAGAATGGCACCCAGGATGCAAGGCTTCAGTTACATGGAAAGACTAAAGAAGCTGGAGTTGTCCTCCTTTAAGCAGAGAAATTTTAGGGTGATCTAATAGAGGCATTCATAAATCACAGAGTTTTGATGAATAAAGGGGAAACCATTTCTAGCGGCAACAAGGTAACGCGTTTTACAACTAAACAGTGTTGTGAGGAAACCGTTCTTACACTGTGATTTACAATGTAGAATGTGTTGCTCAAAAGGGTGATGGAAGCAGATTCAATAATTGCTTTCACAAGGGTATCAAATACTTCAATTTGAAACATCTGCAAGTTGTGGGAGAAAGCAAGCACTTCCAAGCCTATATAGGCACAGGCTGAATGACATCTACCCATGCTATATCTTTTTGTGATTCTATAATCAAACATAATATCATACACTTGTTTAATGATGCACATAAGCATATCTGTTCAAGTAATTACATGTTTTTAAACATCGTTTATGATAACATGTTGCACTCAAGTGAATCCCTGAATGGTCATAATTATCATACACTGTTCATCATGACCTCAGCTGCCACAGGAGTCAGATTTGGATTTCTGCAAAAACTCTAAATTGTTAAAAAAAAAAGGCAATGTCTTAAGTGGAAGTGATGTGGTGAGAATTTCTCTGAACTAATTGAATAAGTTAAAGATAAACCATATTGTAACAAACCTGAACAGCATAGATAGATAGCAATTTGACTCAAAAGCAGAGAAATTAAAAAAGGAGTTCAAATTTTACAAATTGCATAGGTGTAAGTAATTTTCCAATAACTGTTACACTACCACAGTACTATGGATTCTACCCTGTTTACACAGTAGGGAATTCATTAAATATGTATCCGGGACTTACAAATTTTAGTAATTCTTAAAAAGACAAACATTAAAGCTATCAATGGCTACTAACGTGCAGGCCCTGCAATACACGTAGCTATTAGCTATTATCATGCATATCTGAATACTGAAGCAGCTATATACATGTGTATTTTCAGCCTTTTCTTGATTGGTATAAACTATATGGCATAGATGTAATATTTTCTGATAATATTAGAACTTTAATGTCAATATGGGAAAATTACTAAATCACTGTAAAAAGCCATGCAGACACGGGGAGAATGTGTGGAATTTGCACATTCTCCCCGTGTCTGCGTGGGATTCCTCCAGTGCTCTGGCTTCCTCCCACAGTCCAAATGTGCGTAGGTTAGGTGAATTGGCCATACTAAAGTTACCCATAGTGTCCAGGGATGTGCAGGCTAGGTGGATTAGCCATGGGAAATGCAGGGTTTCAGGGACATGGTAGGAGGGTGGTCTGGGTGGGATGACCTTCAGAGGGTCGATGTGGACTTGGTGGATTGAATGGCCTTTCACACTGTAGGGATTCTATGATCCACCACCAGGGCACCAAGTCTGAAGAACATAACATCTATAAAATGCACTACACCAACTTATCAAGACTTCTTTTTCAGTATTTCCCAAACCTTTGCTCTCCATCACCCACACAGAGAAGGGCAGCGAGGACATCAGAGCTCTACCACCCTCCAAGATTCTTCCCAAATCACACACCATCCTGATTTGGAAATTTATCACTGTTCTTTCAATGCCACCTGTTCAAAATTCATCAAGTTTCCACCCACTAGTACCATATAAGTATCATAGAACATAGGGCCTGTATTGTGCTGTACAGTTCTTCAGCCCATGATGTTGTGCTGAAATTTTACCCTAAACCTAAGGTCTACCTAACCTCTATCCCTACCTTATACCATCATCCATATGCCTATCTAATAGCCACTTAAATGCCCCTAATGAGGCCGACTCCACTATCCTCTCCGGCAATGCATTCCACGTCCCTACCACTCTCTGAGTAACGAACCTACCTTTGACGTCTACCCTATATCTACCTCCACTCACTTTAAAACTATGCCCCCTCGTAATAGCTACCTCCACCCTAGGAAAAAGTCTCTGGCTATCCACTCTATCTATACCTCTGATCATTTTGTACACCTCTATTAAGTCACTGCTCATACTTCGTCGTTCTAAAGAGAAAAGCCCTAGCTCTCTCAACCTTTCCTCATAAGACCTTCCCTCCATTCCAGGTAACATCCTGGTAAATCTCCTCTGCACCTTTTCCAATGCTTCCACATCTTTCCTGTTGTGGCCGAACCAGGGTTTTGTATTGCTGGAGCATAACTTCACGGCTCTTGAACTCAATCCCTCTATTAATGAAAGCTAACACACCATTCTTAACAACTCTATCCACCTGGGTGGCAGCTTTCAGGGAACTGTGGACATGAACCTCAAGATCCCTCTGCTCCTCCACACTGCCAAGAATCTTTCCGTTAACCCTGTATTCGGCTTTCAAATTTGTCCTTCCAAAATGAATCACCTCATACTTTTCAGGGCTAAACTCCATCTGCCACTTCTCAGCCCAGCTCTGCATCCTATCAATGTATCTTTGTAACCGAGAACAGCCCTCCGCACTATCCACAACTCGAACCACCTCGTATGGTCCGCAAACTTACTGATCCACCCTTCCACTGCTAAATCCAAATCATTTACAAAAATCACTAGAAGAGGACCCAGATCCTTGTAACTGAGCACCATGTTGAATGTTTTCCGTCCACTACCACCCTTTGTCTTCTAAGAGTCAGCCAATTCTGAATCCAATCTGCCACATTTCCCCTATCCCATGCCTCCTTACTTTCTGCATGAACTTACCATGGGGAACCTTATCAATTGCCTTACTTAAATCCATGTATACCACATCCACGTGTTTGGTCACCTCTTCAAAGAATTCAATAAGGTTTGTGAGGCATGATTTACCCCTCACAAATCCATGCTGACTATCACGAATCAAACTGTGCCTATCCAAGTGATCATAAATCCTACATCTCAGAGCCCTTTCCAATAATTTGCCCACCACTGACGCAAGACTAACTGGCCAGTAATTTCCGGGGTTATCCCTATTCCCTTTTTTGAACAAGGGAATGACGTTTGCCACTCTCCAATCTTCCAGCACTATACCCGTGGACAGTGAGGATGAAATAAAATCATCGCCAAAGGCCCTGAGCACGTTTAGGTGCATGGGTCAAAACGAGGGTCTTAGCCACTGACTCACGGACATTTAGAAATAGGCACTAAATCAGGTCACATGTGAATACATAAAAAAGACTGCTTAGCTAATAGTGTCAGCAGACTGAGGGGGGGGAAATCGAACTATGTAAGGAAGCACCTCCATTCTAACAAACACTAGCTGGTATTGGTATGTATGGAGGGAATGTTGGCGAACAAACAGCTTTGACAAGTACTGCGTTCTCAGAGGTAACGTGGACGCTCGATGTCGATAGAATAAAAGCGAATAGCAAAATGTCAGTTGAAAGGAGTTATGCAAATTATTGATGAAGATCACGTTTCTCTCCACCCTGACATTTTAACGATTAAACCATTAAGACTTTCACCAAAATATGTAATCCCTAAAAATGTACACACCCACACAAATTCCAAATTCAAGCATTCTACTTCCACACCTCCCCCAGTCCACATGCTGACATCGGGCATAACAAAAATTAGCTTTGGATTTGACAGCCAGAATAAACGGGAGGCCAGGATGATCTGACAAAAATAAAAAAAAAACCGAAAGAACCGCGGATGCTGTAAATCACAAGCAAAAACAAAATTGCTGGAAAAACTCAGCAGGTCTGGCAGCAACTGTGCAGAGAAATGAGTCAACATTTCAGGTCTAGTGACCCTTCCTCAGAATATCAGTTCTGATGTTCTCTGATTTCTCTGCGCAGATGCTACCAGACCTGCTGAGCTTTTCCAGCAATTTCTGACTTTTTCAGATCTGACAAAAACCGCAGGGATTGCGGCTGGTAAGCTTTTTGCATGTGTGCTGTTCCCGGCATAACACTCTGCAAGAAACCAGAGCGAAAAACTATCCCAGGCCTAACGCAGGTTGGCCCTGATAAATAACACGCCCCACTTTCACACTTATGTTGCGATACAAATATCAAAATTAAAGTAGAACCACCACCATCAGTAAACGCCCACTCGCATTTCCTACACCTACATCTCCAATTCCAACAATAACAAGGCTGCTTGAAGATACTGTTGGATTCCACCAAACTGAGGAGAAGCTGTTCCAAAACTGCATCAAGTCTCTGTTCATGCCAAATGTTATTGCATTTGACAATAATTCCATATTTCGATTGAGGAGTGGGTATGTGGGAGATAGAGGGCGGCAGCTTCACCGTTACAAGAAAGGAGAGACCACCCCAAATTTAACAATGACGGCACTAAAACCAGCAATGAGACAAGTACCTTCATGACAGTCGCTCGGTTCCACGTCGTGAAACTACAGCTACACAGCCAGCCTCTCGGTGCCACAAGCTCAAGTCCTCGATCACAGTCCGAAAAACCGTCAGCCGCTCTCGCGCCACCGCCGCGGCTGCGCACAACCGACACCCGAAAAGGGGGTGGGCCGATCTGGCCTAACTGACACTCGTATTAGCCAATCAGAAGCGTGAGGTCGTGCCCACCATGAGACAAATGTAATAAAACGATAGACGAACCAGTCCATGCGGGCGTGATTAGCATGGAACGAACGAGGTTTGAAGTGCTTTGATTGAGCTCTTTCTCAACTAAATTCAAATTTTACCATCTACCATGATACAATTCAAATCACATTCCCGGGGATATGAGCCTAGGGTTCTGGATTTGTGCTCCAATTACATTACCGCAATGTCACTGCCTCGCTTTCCATAACCTCACATTATCCTCGGTTTACTCAACTATTTTGTTGTCCAATAATCTGTCCACAGCAATTAGCAGTTCCTGTATCTCCCTCGCATCTTGCATTCCCACCTAGCTTTGTTTCATTACCAAACCTGCGCATATTACCCTCTCTCTCCGTCTAAATCACTAAGATTGTAAATTGCACGGCCTGAGTCCCAACTTGTCAACTGGAAAATGCCCCAGCTATCCCTTCTGTAGCAAAAAATTTGTTTCATGGTTTATATGTTTTAGAATATAAACTTCAGTAATAAAGGGAATATCTGATTGTGAAGTAAATATAATTAAAAACAGCAAATCATATAAGTTATAATGAAAAACAATGGGTAGCCTACTTCTTGACCTCTTGGGAGAGCCAGATTGTTTTTTGTCATCACTGTAAAAGTTAGACCTTGAAACTATTAATTTAGGCAGCAAAATCAATGTGTATTTAAAATAAAATAATTTGCTTTTTAAAAAGTTTGATTTATTACCATGTGTCTTGTTACAAAATATAATGAAAAGTAAAAGGTGTTCACTGATGTTGCCACTCTTCAGCACCATCTTAAATACAGAAAAACAAACCAAAAACAGAGAATATCATGGGAGAAAAATGAAGAAATAAAGAAAATGTTCAACTTCATAGTCCTTGTTAAGTGCTCTGTTTGGGCCACGGCCCTGGTGGCCAGGCACAAGTCCCCTTCACTGCCCACAAGAACAAAATTTGCCACTCTTTGGCCACCGATGCCCTCGCCACTCTGAGTCCTCACTAGATCTCACTGATGCAGATGCCCCAATGCTGCTGAGTACTGAACGAGCCCAAACTTGATTCCGCCACTGCTATGAGTCCACTCCAGGCCCACCTCTGTCACCGCCTCCATGCCTTTCTATTTGAAATGGTTTTATTAAAGGGCAATCATATTTAATCAATCTATTATATTTTTTGAAGGACTAACATGCTCTGTGGATAAAAGCAAACCTTTAGATGTACTATACTTGGCTTTCCAGAATACATTTGATAAGGTGCTAAATCAAAGGTTATTGTGGAAAATGAAAGGTCATGATGGAGGAGGCAATAGATTAGCACAGGCACAAGACAGGTTGGCTGGTAGAAATATGCACAAATGAGTCTTTATTTGTTTGGCAGGATGTGATGAGTGGAGTCATTCAGGAGTCTGTGCTAGGGTCTAAACTTTTTGCAATTTATGATGACTTAAAGGGAGAAAAGCATGGTATCTAAAGTCATAGATGTCACCAAAAATAGTGAAGTATGTTGTGAAATAATGTGCAGACATAAGTTAAGTAAATGGACAAAAAAAATGGAATAAAGTGTGGGGAAAATGTGAAGTTGTTCACTTTAGCAGGAAAAATAAAAAGCAGAATACTCAACCAATAGAGGATGACTGCACAATTCCAAGGCGCAAAAGGACTTGAGTGTTCTGCTGAACTTGTCACAAAAATACCAGTATGCAGATACAGCACATAATCAAGATTACTGGAATGCTATCCTTTTTTACAAGGCAATTTTAACATAAAAAGATGTTATGCTTCAGTTTTACTGGGCATTCGTGTGACCACTCTAGAATACAGTTTGTTCAAGGAACAAAGAACAAAACAGCACAGGAACACGCCCTTTGGCCTTCCAAGCCTGCGCTGCCACATTTTGCCTTTCCATACTAAAACAGTCTTCATTTACAAGATCTGTATCCCTCTATTACCTTCCTATTCATATATTCGTCCTGGTGCTTCTTGAATACTGCTATTACGGTGGTCTGCTTCCACCACCTTCTCTGGCAACATGTTCCAGGCACCCTTTGTATGAAAAATTGCCTTGCACATCTCTTTTAAACTTCCCCACTCGCACCTTGAACCTGTGTCCCCTAGTAATTGACCTCTCCACCCTGGACCCTTCTTCAGAAATGGGGGAGGGGAAGGGGATTCTGAAATAAATAGAGGGGAGGGAGGCGGATGGAGAAGATAGGTGGAGAGGAGACTGACAGGTCAAGGAGGTGGGGATGGAGCCAGTAAAGATGAGTGTAGGTGGGGAGTTAGGGTGGGGATTGGTCAGTCCAGGGAAGACGGTCATGTCAAAGAGGCAGGGATGAGGCTGGTAGGTAGGTGGGCGTGGGGGTTGAGGTGGGAGGAGTGGATAGGTGGGAGAAAGGACGGACAGGTTAGGGATGCGGGGATGAGCTGGGCTGGTTTTGGGATGTGGTCAGGGGAGGGGAAATTTTGAAGCTAGTGAAGTCCACATTGATACCATTGGGCAGCAGGGTTCCCATTGCACAATGCTATATTTAAAACAACTCCATCCGTAGTTGGTTCCACTCATTGCTCCAAGAATCTGTTGCAAATGTATTCTACGAAGTGATCTTCTGGACTATCTTTGCCAATTTGATTGACCCAGTCCAGTCTAAGAAGGTTAAAAGCATTAAAGTCCACCTCAACAATGATATTGTCTTTAAACAAGAAGTTACTGGAACTTATCACACTACTCTGTTGAACTGTGTAGTTACTTAGGGGGGCCTATAAACTCTCATCCGTATTTTCTGAACTTCGCTATTCCTAGTCATAAACCATGTTAATTCTATTTCCTGGACCAATAATACACATTATTTTGATAAGATGAATATATGTTCATAAAACTGAATGAAATGATGTTTTTTTAACAAAACAGAGCATGCACTGGTCAACTGTAAATGCAACTTGAAAAGTTGAAAAAAAAATCATTGGAAAAATGTGAAAATTTGGAATGCCCTTAGCAGGTGGTTAAGTGTCAAAACAGCAAACTGGAGCTTGCATTCAATAAATCTGAAGAGCATGCTGATTATTGTGTATCAAGGATTGAACCATGTGCAGCTTGTGATTGCAATGTTCTGGTCAAAGGCATAAATGTGCACTGCATCTCCTGTGGCAAAGATGTCGAGAAAACACTGTTAAAAATTGAGATCGGAGTGTCACATTGATGATGATGTTGGGACTTGGTTTGAAAACCAACCATTCGGGATCCTTCATCAGGCTGAGAAGAAGTGTATTCAGGCCAGGCCAAGAATTTCTAGACAGTTGGAAGCCAAGATTCATGGGAACAGAGAAGTGCGATTTCCAGTGAGGAAGTCAGATAGGAGAAATCTGCTGACCATAGGTAGAGACCAGTATCAAAGTAAGTTGAAAATATTTTGAATTATAAATAGTCATATCAACATTTGAGCTTGAAGCTGGCAGAGGAGCTAGAAATCGCTAAAGAGCAAAATTTATTGTACAGGTAGTTCTCCTATATCGTGACAGTTGCATTCTTGCGTAGAAAATTGCCATAGAATATCGTGTTGTAGAGAAATCACTATAGAAAATCATTATACATATACAACAAAGTTCGCATTATCCAAACAGTGTCCACTATTCATCAATCGCATTAAAGCCAATTCGTGTTAATGAAACATGCGTCATAGCAGAACTACCTGTACAGGGTTGCACAGGTACAACAGTTGTTGGTCTCCTGTAACTTCTTTGATATTTCAATGTATGGATTAGAGATGATTCTGTAACTTCAGTGATGAGAATTTGGGAATTAAGCAAATGGAGAAGTGTGTATATACAGTCTTGGTAGGCTTAACAATTTACGGATGTTTCTGGTATTGCTGTGCTAAGTATAAGAAGAACCCTTGATTGTTTCGTGTTTCTTTACATATGAGTAGCACCAATTTCAACATCTTCATAATAACATTTGAATCGTACAGAAGGTAAGTGTATAAGTGGCATTGTGGATTTGCAACAGTGGTATCCTTCTACCTTTATAAGAAAGAAAAATACAGGCTGAGGCAAAACATTTCAATGCTAAAGCAAGGAAAGCCAATTTGTCATTTATATAGATGATCTAGATGACAATTTAGGAGACATGGTTAGTAAGTTTGCGGATGACACCAAAATTGGTGGTATAGTGGACAGTGGAGAAGGTTATCTAAGATCGCAAAGAGATCTTGATCAATAGGGTCAATAGGCTGAGGACAGGCAGATGGAGTTTAATTTGAACAAATGTGAGGTTTTGCATTTTGGTAAAACAAACAAGGGCAGGTCTTATACAGTTAATATGTAGCCCTGGGTAGTGTTGTAGAACAGAGACTCCGAGGGGTTCAGGTACAAAATTCTTTGAAATTTGCATCACATGTAGACAGGGTGGTTAAGAAGGCATTTAGCACACTTGCCTTCATTGCTCAGACCTTTTGAGGATAGGAGTTGGGTTGTCAAATTGAGGTTGTACAGGATGTTGGGGAGGCCTCTTCTGGAGTACTGTGCGCAGTTCTGGTCGCCCTGTTATAGGAACAGTATTATAAAATTGGAGAGGGGTCAAAAAAGATTTACCGGGATGTTGCTGGGAATGGAAGATTTGAGGTATAAAGATAGCCTGTGACTTTTTCAACTGGAGTGTTGGAGGTTGAGCGGTGACCTTATAGATGTTTATAAAATCATGAGGGGCATAGATAAGGTGAATAACAAATGTCTTTTCCCTGGAGTGAAGGAATTCAAAAGTAAAGGGTAGTAGGAACTGCAGATGCTGGAGAATCTGAGATAACAAGGTGTAGAGCTGGATGAACACAGTAAGCCAAGCAGCATCATAGGAGCATGAAGGGTCATTTTTCTGATGAAGGGTCTAGGACCGAAACGTCAGCCTTCCTGCTCCTATGATGCTGCTTGGCCTGCTGTGTTCATCCAGCTCTACACCTTGTTATCTCAAAAGTAAGGGGCATATTTTTAAGGTGAGAGGAAAAAGATTTCAAAAGGACACAAGAGGCAACTTTTTTTTTTTAAACAGAGTGGTTAGTATGCGGAATGAACTGCCAGGAGAAGTGCTCAATGCAAGTAACATTACAACATTTAAAAGACATTTGGATTAGTACATGAATAGGAAAGGTTTGGAGGGACATGGGCCAAATGCAGGCAAGTGGGACTAGTTGGTCGGTGTGGACTAGTTGGGCGGAAGGGTCTGTTTCCATGCTGTATGACCCTAAAGGGGTATTTCTGAAACTGAATATATTCCAAAGAATTTTGTGCAGATGAACTCGATGCAGCTATTCAAGATAATACCCTTGTCAAAACTGAAAATACATTTGGAAAAAAATGACTGTTATAATCTATAGTGGCTCTGTTGGAATCCTCAGACAAAACTCATCCTCATGTCTTTTCAGTAACTGGCATCTAAAGAAGGATGTTATGCTTCCTTCTATGATAAGAATCTGAAGCATGAATACTTCCCAAACTACACTTAAGAAGAGTTCCGAATTGCAGTCCCACTTATTATCACCATCTCACCATCACTGTACACAAGATAAAAACTAGGACACTTAATCCCTAAATAAGGTGACATCAGCTAGGCACAAGTATTCACACCCTGTGGCCAGTTATGTGTCTTTTGTTTTTAGGAGCTCAATATTGCACACCAGTATGGGCAGAAACTATGCATGTTGTCATGCATCTGAACAATGACAACCATCAGCAAGATCTGCTAAAACCATCAATAGGTTGTTTTCCTTTCAATGTACATATCTTGCCACTACTTTTCAGGAAAAAAAAAACAAATAATTAGAGTACAACTGGACCCCAGCAAACAAGTAAAACAAAGAACTGCAGATGCTGGAAATCTGAAATAGCTGGAGAAACTCAGCAGGTCTGGCAGCATCTGTGGCAGAAGGCAGAGTTAATGTTTCAAGAAAATTCTGGACTCAAAACATTAACTCTGCTTTCTGTCCACAGATACTGGCAGACCTGCTGAGTTTGTCCAGCTATTTCTGTTTTTTGTCCCAGCAAATGCAACTTTGTCTATCAATGAAAATTCCAAAAAGCTCACAGGAACCAATTGGATAATTAACTTTGACGTTTAATGTTGCTGCCATAGGAAATAATAAATATTTTGCAGTTTCAGAAATGTATACTAGTTTCAGTTATCAAATTATTTAAATGTATTATAGAACACTTTCTGTATTGTTTCAATGTGACATTGGAATAGCAGTTTCTAAGACACAATGATAATTTTTCATTGAGGTTGTTGACTTGCTTGCCCAGCTGGCTTGTTTTTGTTCAGACATGCTAGGTGACATCATCAGTGGAGCCTCCAATGAAGTGATGCTATTCTACTCTGCTTGGAATTTATACTGTCCAGTCCATTACGGTGAGTACTGTCATTTCCGGTTTTGATCTGTATGGGTTTGCATACACAACCCGAGCTACAGATCTTTGCCAAAACTTTACATTTTTCAATTTCATCAACAGTCCTCATGCTCCCTTGAAGTCTGATTAATATCAATTTATGCCCTGTTTGCTCATGGATCGCAAAACTAAGAACTAGGCGAAGTGGCACTCTGATAATTTCAACTTATTTGTCTTGATATATTCAAAAAGAAATGAACAAAGCATTTTAGTATGTCTCCTCTATTCTCTTTCACCGCCCCAAAACTTTCAAGTTTCTAAAATACCAACTTTTAATATTCATATCTAATTAAACACATAGGGCAGCTAACCTTAAAAGGAAAATCAAGTAGTT